GTCGGATTTTCTGGATTGCCAATCCATGAAAAATAAAAAAAAATCCAGAAAATCTCAAAAAATATTCCGAAATCCACCAGCAATGTCCTCTTGTAAATGAAGGAATTTTAAACTGAAATTTTTGTGATATGTAGGCCTCGGGACCCTTAAAATATCTCACAAGTTTCAGTGCAAACGGATGTTCCCCTCATAAGATAATCAATTTTCAAGAAAATCGGATTTTCTGACCGTGCTGTGAAATATGAGTATTCCTTGCAGTTGTGCTGTCTTCAGAAGAAAACATCCGTTTGCGCTGAAACTTTTAGGATATTCTAAGGATCACGAGGCCTACATGTGACAAAAATTTCAGTTCGAAGTTCCTTCATTTATAAGAGGACATTGCTGTCGAATTTTTGGATTTTTAAAATCCGAAAATCCACAATCTGCTGTTTTCCCCTTAATTTGGTGCTACATAGAAAAGAACAGGAAAGCGACAAAAAACAATTTTTCGGATCATAGTACATATCTCATGGAGCCACCCATGAGATATTTATTTGAAATGACGACTATATCTACAGTTTTCCTCTTGAACTTCATGTGCGAATCGAATAAAGTTTTTCTTTTAATATTGAAAAGCCTCCTATTGATTCCGAACTAAGAAAAGAAAAAAACATGACTGTCTTACTGTGGGTGCTATGTAAAAAATCATTCGGTTCCATAGTGTCCATCTTGGTATGAATACATTGATTACTTTCAACATGCCAAATTATACCTGGATTACCCATAAGGACAAAAAGTGAACTATTGCTTCGACATGCAGCCGCTACATCTTCTGCTGAGACAGCACCAAATACGATGAATTCTAAACATGTAATCATATGTATGTTGTCTGAATCGTATAACGAGCAGACGGCTACTTACTGAACGCATTATTCCATATTTCAACTTCTAGGGAAGTCTTTGGATTATGCGGTGGTGTTATAGCTGTGGCGCACGTTGTGTTTTGCAAATGCGCACCCTTCGCCCATCGAAATTTGTGAATTTCCTTGTCGCCGGTATCTTTGAATGGCATTAAATCCACAGCCATAGTAAACACAATAAGTAAGAGGAATATACAATTTAATAAGCCCATCGAATTTCTGAAAGACAGAAAAGGCATAGTACTTGAATATTCGATTTTGTTGATGCCAATAATAACACATTATCTATCAGCTGATAACTACTATCCGTTTCAAAATAGAATGCATCTGACTGTAAATTGAATAAATTTTGATAGGAACAAGATAGAGAGCTGCGGTTTTCGCTATTCGAAAGAGAAATAGTGGGCCTACAAATCTAAATCAAAATTTCATAGCCTAATAACTGACTAATCAGGTGAGTCTTCTGAAAACATTTTCCGTCCAGTTTTTTGTTTTAACATGGCTAATCGATAGAAAAAATTTTTCTCTTTCGATCTACGCAAGGCTAAGATCTCTAGCTTGTTTCTTTCAAAAGTTATAAGAGCTTCCTGAGACCTCGGATTTTGATCGTTTTAGCCTAAATGACTGTGGAAATTGTCAAAACAGATGTAATCACCACGCTGAGTTTAATAATGATGTTTGTTTTCACTTTCAAAGCAATACAACATCTCAATATCGAGAATTTCAAATTTTAGTCTTATAAAGGAATATCTAGCGGTATATCAAACTCTCGATATTGAGATGTTTTATTGCTTTGAAAGTGAAAACAAACATCATTAATAAACTCAGCGTGGTGATTACCTCTGTTTTGACCATTTCCACAGTCATTTAGGCTAAAATGGTCAAAATCCGAGGTCTCAGGAAGCTCTTATAACTTTTGAAAGAAACAAGCTAGAGATCTTAGCCTTGCGTAGATCGAAAGAGAAAAATTTTTTCTATCGATTAGCCATGTTAAAACAAAAAACTGAACGGAAAATGTTTTCAGAATAATGTTAACAAAATGTTTTCAAAAGACTCACCTGATTGGTCAGTTATTAGGCAATGAAATTTTGATATAGATTTGTAGGCCCACTATTTCTCTTTCGAATAGTGAAAACCGCAGCTCTCTATCTTGTTCCTATCAAAATTTATTCAATTTACAGTCAGATGCATTCTATTTTGAAACGGATAGTAGTTGTACAAATCGACAAATAATGATTTTCTCTGCAATCAATCTGAGATGAAGGACGTAGTTTGAGCTACAAGTGAATTTTTTTAGCTTTTGTCATACTTGAATAAGGTCTTGGTCAGAGCACCGCAGTGCGTGGAATGAATCCCATCCCGTTCTATGTTGAAGCAGAGTCAGATGTCCAAATTCAAGTTATGACGGGATGAATTTGGGTAGAATCTCAGCAACACGGGATGGGTTGGAACATGGATATTTGATTTCTGTGTCGTGGCAGTGATTTCATCACAACATTCTTACAGATTATTTCACATGTACTGTAACTCAGTTTTATGTACAAATGATAGAAATACTGGTAGGGTTAGACGCGATCTAATTGGTTATTGTTAACAGTATAATGCATGCGTATTCAAATGAAGTTGTTTTGTTTTTGGGTCAGTTTTATTCTTCTAACCGCGCCGTTATTTGTTTATTCGATATCTTTTCTTCTCAGATTTGAATTACTGTTGCTCAGTTTAACTATGCGACATGTCGTTTCCAGCTCTATTAAAGTCAATATGCTTAAAGAGAACGATTCTTTGTAGTTTCTCTTTTATCTTCAATACCTGTCCTAGCACGATTCGATAGAGAAATCGATGCCATATTCCCGAGTACCGGAATAAAAGTTTTAGATCTTTGACTTTGAGTAACAAAGATATTCATGATGAAAGACAAACAAATACGTACTGCGTTCGCTTAAAGAACGTTGACTAGCGATGTAACAACACCAAATCTCTGGGGTTTTGGGAGTTTTGTCGATGCAGATTTTGGGTCGTTTTGGGTTTCGTCGTCGAGATTGGGATTTTGGCGAATACAGTTGAATTATGATGTTTTTTATTGAATTAAAGTGTCTGAATCTGCTTAGAAAATGTCGTTGGATATAATCAGGAGCAAAATGTATAATGATACTACAAGTGAGTGTTACTTTAGCGTTACTTCTGCAGTGTTTTCCAAAAATGGAACACTTTTGTTCTGTTTTAGGAAAATTTCTCAAAGACAAGAACAAAAGTGTTCCATTCTTGGAAAACACTGCAGAAGTAGCGCTAAAGTGACACTCATTTGTAG